GCTGGGGCGTTGTTTCGGGGGAAGAAGGTAGGGCAATGTAGCCTCCCTTCTCCCCCTCGTTCTGCGCGAGAACAGCTGTCTATTGTCTCTCTCTCAAGCAGGCAGTTCTAAAGGTGATCCTACCCTGGGCTCCAGGATCCTTTCTTTCTTTCTTTTCCTTTGTTTTTTCCTCCAATGAGGTTTTCAGTTTCCTTATTATTGTACTCATACGCTCCCACGCGTGACCCGGGTGGCCAGCGTTGGAAAAACAAGGAGGACGCAGGCCGGGCCCGGGGAAAAGTGCAGCGAGAAACAGAAAACTTTGGGGCGCTGGGGCGACTTTTCTTCGGACACTCTGTCCGCAATTGTGGTCAGATCATCCACGTCGGCCGATTAGAGTTCCTCGTGGTGATATATATTTGTCTTTTGTGCATGTTGTGAGACGTGGGGCGAGGCGCTCGCAGGTTCAAATACAAGCACATAGCGGATTGCTCCACTACTCACCAAATGTGTAAAAACTACCAGTCACCAAATGTGCAAAATGAGAATGGAAAGATACACCGCCATATTTTTTGTCTTTTGTGCATGTGGTGAGACGTGGGAGCATGTCCTTTTGTTTGAACATGAGGGGCCAAGCCCTGCTCTGGCGCCGCCCCTTGGAACAAGTACACGTAATAGCGAGGGGCCCCGCCCCGCCCTGGCACCGCGCCCTGACAATAAATACAAGTAATAGCAAGGGTCCGCGCCCTGCCCTGGCACTGTGCCCCGGCAATAAATACAAGTAGCGGAACATGCACCGCGCCCTGGCACCGAGGAATCAATTCAAGTACATGGCGGGACATGCGCCTCACGCCCATGCCCTGGCAATAAGGAATCAAATAAGTACATAGCGGTACACAGGAACAGTCCCGTTGTGCATGCAGCTGTCCTGTTGGAACCGTCCTGTTATGCATGCAGCTGTCCCGTTGAATGTGCAGCTGTCCCGTTGTGTGAGCTGTCCCGTTGTGTGTGCAGCTGTCCCATTGTGCGTGCTGTCACCTGAATGGAGCGCATGGTCATTATAGCTGTTGTATTTTAGGGACAGCGATAATGACAGTGGCGGTGTGTCCTATTCGGGTGAAGATGATAGTGTGCCTTGCCTAGTCTCACGCTCCCGATACATAAGAAGTGGCCGACTTTTCAGGAGAAGACGACAGCGTGTCCCTGCTGATCCTCACACTCTCAATATGCATAAAAGCGGGTGGTTAGACCTTATACAGTCTCCACTGAGGATTTTGGGTCCCACACTTCTCTCCTGGCTTCTCGCCCTGATGTACAGATCAAACCTGATCGACATCAAGAAGGGAGGCTCTCTGAAATACTTGGCTATGGGTGTGTTTGCGACACCTCTACCCAGGGTCTGGATTTCAGGCTGGCCTGCGAGCAGACCCCCCTCGCTATGGTAATCTGCTGTGGGGAGGACCTCCAAGAAAAGCAGGTCGCGTAGTCTGCCACGGTCCTTCCCCCTTCTCTCCTTACGTAGGCTCGAGTCTTGCCTCATCCTGTTCGTTCAGCAACTGGACACCGTGGTGCTTCAGCTGCCACTTGTTCCGCTCGAAACTCTGCTTCGAAGAAAGACCTCTGCAGATCTTATCCTGATTACTATGTGGTTTGGAGCTGGGCTTGGGCCTCTTGAGCTTTGCTACCAACTGGATATGGTGGAAGGAGCCATCTTCACCTGTCTGATGTGTGTTTGCCAGCTGGACTCGGTCACCTTGGCTGCATTACTAACTGGGTATGGTATGAGGAGCCGTCTTCATGGTTATCGATCTCTTGTGCGTGGTTGTCGGCTGTACTCAGGCATCTTTAGCTTCGCTGCTAATTCCATATGGTCGAAGGAGCTATCTTACCTGTGTGCTAATCTCTGATGTGCTGTTGCCAACTAGGCTTTGAGACATGTTTAGCTCCATGCTACTAGCTGGAAATGGTGTAAGGAGCCATCTTCACCTGTGAGTTGATCTCTTGTGTGTGGTCGTCAGCTGTTCTTAGAAGGCATCTCTAGCTTCGCTACTACCGTCTTCCCCCGAATAGAACGTACGGTCATTATATGTGTATTGTTTGGCCCAACTTTCAGTCGAGATGCAACGAAAATGATGGTACGTTCTATTCGGGTGAAGGCTGTAACTGGATATGGTGGAAATAACTATTTTCACCTGCTTGTTGATCTTGTGTGTGTGGTTGCGCCATCTGTTTGGACACCAGTTATGCAGGTGTGAGGTGTGTGTGTGTGTTACTCTCTTCCGTATGTATTTGGAAGTGGCGTCTGACAGTGTGAATGTGCGATAGCTTTGCAATGCTGCGAGGGACTTGACACCAGTAGTGAAAACTTGAGATGATTGCAAAGGCCAATGATGCCGACAATCAAACTCGGAGATAGCTGGTTTTCCGCGAAATCTATTGAGGTACAACATGCGATCTTCATTGCAAGAGGTAGATCATGCAGATGACCATCTAGAGTGTAGTGAGGGGTTCACTGTAACAGGTGAACAGCTAAAGAGATGTGGCCTCATTAGAACATTCAACAGTCTGTGTTTTTTTTCAATCTGCCTGGTGGCGGAATGGCACAGACAATCCTGATGGATAGAGCAAAGCTATTGGTTAACCCACCTTTTAGAAAAAGGAGGACGATTTAGAAAATGAAATGATCTGTTAGAGTCGTTTTGGTTCTATCAAGGAGCTTGCTCGGCGCTACTGAGAATTATTAATGGGTTTGATTAAGCCCACCGGTCTCCTGAGATCGTGGGTTCTAGAAAACACAGAAGAAATCCATGGTTTCCGCCTTGGGCTCCTCTTTACCGTGTGCCCGCAGATTGTGAGGAGGAAGCTGCCTTGTCCTGGCAGTTGAAGAGATCAGGTCAGTGCCGTTGCCATATGTAGTTATCAGGTATCTACTAGTAACGGATTCTTGTAGTCCTGAGGCAGGCGTTTGCTATGAAGAGATTTGCCACACACACACACACACACACACACACACACAGACACACACAGACACACACAGACACACACAGACACACACACATTCAACCTCTTCGGTGAAAGTCCGACGAAACAGCCTGGCACAGTCATGTTTTTTTTGAGTGTATAGTGAATATGGCAACACACACACAGAAAGATAGGTAGATAGATAGATAGATAGATAGATAGATAGAGAGATAGAGAGATAGATAGATAGATAGATAGATAGAGAGAGAGAGAGA